CATGTCCACTCCGTCAGCAGGCTCACAAACAGTATTTTGCCGTTTGCACTTTCTCCTTCGTGTTAAAACAAACAAACAATCAAACAAAAACTGTTGAAGTTTGAGCAGTATGATGGGAAGGCAAAGTTGACTACTGCTAGCGAAACAAAACAATGTTGTGAAACTCACAGAATGCAGCGCCAGTGACCTGGGCGAGCACCGGAAAAATAAATGGACGAGTCAATTCAAATGTACAAACATACTCCATCGCAAGACCAATTTCCCCGAATGAATTAGTGCCTTGGCTGCTCACTTTGCAAAGGAACAGGTAATCATTCCTAATCGCATTGTCTGCGCGGCTCGGAAACATTCAAAGGCTGATTGCCTCCCGTAACAGCTGGCCTCTCCTCAGACCACACATCATTTCAGAAAAAGCCACTGGGGGCGGCGCCGCACTTTGCCGAAATATTCCATTCGGTCGTGTGGTTGGCGGAGCCGCAAACGGCTTCGGCGCGGCGAGCGGTTTCTCATCTATTTTAACGGTCCGATCTCCGCAATTAAAATGGTCTGGCCGCGGCCTCAGCGACGATTTCCGTTGGGCTAAATTTGGCCAGATGAAATGTCAAATGATGACACGCAGGAAGAGGAAACACTGCAAAGGCAGACGGGGACAAAAGCAGACAATTGAGTCCTTAAACACTGTCTGAATTTGTTCCAATAATTACCTCGGCCTTGACTGTCAGACGCAGTCCTCACACCCCACACACAATTTCTCTGTACTCGTCTCCACCTGCAAGTCTGTAAGTCTGGTCACGTCCAGGCTGTCTGAATGCGTGACCTTCTCAAGGTCAAAGTGGACGTACTTTAAAAACCGGACCTTGTCAGGCAGTGTGCCGGGTGGTTGGGTGGTTGTCGCCCTCACTGGGGGTTTGGAGGATGAAGGGGGGGATCTCAAACAGGGTTGTAATAGTTTTGGTGTATTTCTTGTGTGCAAGATTATACATATGAGTGACAAAAGCAGGGAAGCCATTCCAAATACGCAAGCGCGGCTGTCGCCTTGGAGCGGCGACATCTGATTGCGCTTTTTTTTATTGGCTGCCGCAAGATGACAGTTTTATCCTGTTAGTTTGCGTTAACTAAAATAAGCATCTCAAATTATCTTTCATCAGTGACATGAAAGGAAATAAGGATAAACAAGCCTGCGAGTATTGTCATCTGTCTAGCAGTGCTGCTTCATCATTTGTGTTCGAATACCCATAACTATCGATGCTAACTGTTAGCTTGTCTATAGCATTTTGTATTGTCAGCATTAAGCTTAGCTGACTTTCCTAAGGCGAAGCAGTGGCGGCTTTTAAGATGTATACGTCGTGTAATTCGCTTTCATTGAGCGTGAAAGTAAATTTCAACTGGGAGTAACCACAACAATGTTAATTAATATTAATGTAATGCATCTGGATCGATAAATCATGCAACGCCGTCACATTGATAGATGGATGTAAAGGCGCTCAGAACAAAGGGCGGGTAAAAAAAAACGCATGCACGTCAATACTGACGACGGGCTATTGGGATGGCGACATGATACATGGGATCAATTACGATGATTTGATTTTTTTTTTTTTTATACATTCCAATTATGACAGCAAAAACAATAAGGCGAGAAGACACACTTCCCCCGTCTCTCTGTCTCTCTTTCTCTCGCTCACTCTGTCTGTGTCTCTCTAGGTGGGCAAAGACTGCAAGATTAAGGGTTATGCCTCTCACCAGAGCTACATGGTTTACTTCGGGTAAAACAAGCGCACTGAATAGCACATGACAGCGGGAGGAAGTGAAATGAGGTGCCGGGTGTCAGGAGGAGGTGGATAATAGAAACACAGGAGGGAGAGGAACAGCAGGAATTGGCCTTATTACTTGCAACGGAAGGAGGCAGGACAAGGGGAGGAAGACGAGAGAAAGCCAGCGATGTAGTCCTGCAAGTGAGGACCGAGAAATGGCAGACAGACATATGAACTGTTGAGGAATAAAACATGGCGCCAGATTGATGAAGAGACAAAAAGGAGCGATGGCCGTCGCCACTGCGCTGCCATTTTTTTCCCCACGCCCTCCTTCCAGCTCCACCGTCCACAGTTTGTTGGCTCAAAAAAAAAATCAAGGTGTCGCTTTAACGCTCCTCCTCTGTATTTCCCGCCCGCCCACCCTGCCGGCGTGCAGTCCAGCCTTTGCTGTACTTGCGTCTCTGTCAATAAGACGGAGCACCTTTTCCACACTATGACAATCCATCACTGCTTGTCCTCTACGACGTTTACTCTTATTCCTGCCGGTACACGGAGACTCAGCCCTGGATTTTGTCGTGGCATCACTCCTTGAAGTGCATTGGAGACCAGTGTAAGTCACTGCTTGAGGCTGAGCAGTTAAACTCAATTGTCACTGGAAGGAGGAATCTAAACTTTAAACCAATGGAACACCACCCCATAAACATGTAACGTGAATTTAATACACGACAGTCTGCACTCATGCCAGACAAAAAGTCTTCACAAAAGCTAACCACTGCAATTACATCATCAACATCATCATAGCACTTTTTTTTGAAAGATTTTATAGAGCCATGACTAATGCAATGAATAAAACTGTTCAACACTTTGAGGGCTGCAGATGTGAAATGCCGTCAACGGGAATCCTAACGAGGAGCGACGACGATTGACGTCAACAACGTTATTTAGGGTGGGGAGGTAAAAAAAAAAAATCACTATTAATGAAAAAAAAAAGCAAGTTTGTGTTTGTCAGGTTGAATCTACCACAAAGAGTGTTAAAAAAGAGAAAATATGAGAGATTATTTAAATTTTGAATTAAAGGAGTGACGTACATACATAAACACAAGCTCACACATACAAACATGCAGACGCACACACACACACACACACACACACACACACACACACACACACACAAACGGCTCACATGTACGCACGCACACACTACTAAATACTACTACTACTACGACTACTGCTGCTACTAATAATAATAATAATAGTAATAATAATAAGAATAATAAATACCTTGCTAATAATTTACAAAGTGTGTCAAATGATCCACCTGCACAATCCAAAATTCTTTGACTGGCACATTCAGAGCGGTATCAAGACTTTGTTTGTGATTATGGTGGACTTCAACTAAATTGCATCACTTCTTGAAAGTGATGTGAAAATTCAGGCCGCTTCAAAAAAATATCTAGAAGTACCTCAAAAGTCCCATAGGGTTTTTGAGGCTTGTCAAATGTTAAAAAAAAAAAAAAAAAAAAAGTATTCCAAGGACGCCCCTGTCATGGTGCAGGGTAAATATTTGGAATGTTGTCCACTTTTTTTTTTTTTTTGCCTGACCTTGCTTTTCATGATACTGTCGTTTGAAGACAATTTCTGTTATTTTTTAACAAGTCTAAAACTGAGAAAGAGGTAACAAATTGTCAACGCCAATAAGACGCACCCGCGCCCACGATGCCCTTGGCGCTGCTCTTGATCAATCATTTATTCATCCGGCCCCTCAAACTGCTCCATCCTGGCATTTTTGTCTTGATTGTGTTTGGCTCATTCATAATGTATGGCGACTGGGGAGGTTTTCACCGTGTCAACATGTTTCATAACTCAACGGCATGGCAAAGTGGTGCAAGCGAGTGCGAGAGCGGGGTGGGGGTTTGGGGGGGTAGGTGGGAGGTTTTCGATGTGAGCCCAGATAGCGGCACGAGAGAGATGAAAATAGGCGAGCGCAGGGTGGGATTTTGACGGCGCCACTGGGGGTGAAGATGAAACTGTAAAGGATGAGGAAAAATATGTACATCGTTTGAAGACTCCTTTCGGGTGGGCGGTAAGAGCCGATGCGGTGAAGAGAAGGAAGACGGGGTGGAAAGCAGGCAGAAAAGTCACCCGAGGAGAAAGGTCGCAAGCTATTTCATGGCCATGCAGCTGGGATTTTTTTTTTGCGGGGGGTCCAGAATACCTCTGTAGTATAAACCCACACGGGGAGTAACATTGCCTGAAAGTGAGAATATGTCATCTGCCTCAAAGCAAATGGAAGTGCACGCTGCGCTTATTTCCGGATTATACCCCAATATGGGAGTTAATGATGATGGGCTGTCGGTAATTGAATCACATAACCAAACAAATGTGGGCGATAAATGAACGTCTTGATTGAAACGGAGCTTTGCGCACATAAAAACCAACCGTTTCCTCCTCTCCCCCCCCCCCAGACCCACCCTCCAAGAGACTGATGATTTGTTTTATCGGGAAGTCAATAGCGCGAGGCAAATTAAATCATATTTAAAAAGGAGACAAAGGCAACGGCTGCGATTGGTGTACAGCATCCCCCGACTGCACAGATGAGACACAAGCACGAAAAGGAGCGCTCGCGGCAACGTCCTGCAAGTGGACTTACAAGATGACAATTACGCAGTGGTCACATTGTGCTGAAATACATTCAGCAAGCACATTTCCGTCGTGGCTTTTCTTCCCGGTGCGCTTATCATCGTCCCTAATAAAAAGATACGCACTTGTACTTTTATGGACTCTTACCGGCCCTCATTACCGCTGAATTGCTTGCAAGGCCCTTGAGATAAACAAACATGTGGAGGATGAGTGATAAAAAGTCAGGCAATGGTGAGAGAGTTGAAAAGACACCATTCAAAACTGTATGTGAGCTGCGTTCACCAATAATGCCAAGCATTTACGATAAAGTGAATTTGAGATTCCATTGGTCCGTGCATTTGGTATCAAATATTTCTACAATTGAGTATGATATCAACTTTTTAGTACCCCGCTGATTATTCAAGTAATCGGACGCAGCTTCGGTGACCTTGAGTGTGTACGTCTTATAAATGTGGTGAGTGACGTGGGTGTCAGTGAATGAGAATGTAGAGTTGGCTAACCGTGTGGCCAAGCTGCGTTTTGAGTTACCATGGGTAAGCTTGAGAATGGAAAATTTTAGGCTAACACGGAAGCCTCAACATGTTTTAGTGCAACTGCTGCAAGTCCTACCTCGATCCTGCCGGTGTCAGGCTGGAAGCCCCTGGCCGGGTCCTCGGTGGTCACCCTGCACTGGATGGCGCAGCCGTTGACCCGGATCTTGTCCTGTCTGAGGCCCAGTTCTGGCAAGCTGCGGCCGGAGCACACATGCAGCTGGGCGTGCACCAGGTCCACGCTGAGAAGACACAGACAACGCCGCTGTTAATGGCGCCTGCTGATTCCACCTTTTCTATTGAAAACTGCACTAAGTAGCTCCTCCTGGGCTCAAATCGAGCTAGCGAGCGCGCAGATTCGTCGTGGATGAGTGACTTTGTAAAGCACATCCCATTTGGGCAAATGAAATCCGCCACGCGTGAAAGGAAACGAAGCCCACCTGAATACGCCGTCAAATAAGAAAACAAATTTGATTAAAATACAAAAGGTGTAATGTGATCATGTAAGTGCCTCTCCCGAGGAAAGCCTGAGTACACTCAAAATGCAAATCATTAATTCCAGTCTAGTCTCGTGTCATTGGAGTGCTATTAAGGAAATCAGGTTGGAGATTATGATTGAATGCAAGTCGGCCTGAAAAAAAGCCCGACAAATAACAGCACGTTCACTGATAGAATGAAAAAAAAAACCTCATTTACATATTTGTTCCAGCCTCTGATTGGTTGGTAGGAGCAAAAACTTAATCGAGCCCCACACATTAATACAGTTAAGAATCAGCATCTCTGCTGAGTACCGCATACCATATTTTCCGCACGATAAGGCGCACCTAAAAACATTGTTTTCTCAAAAGCTGACAGTGCACCTTATAATCCGATGTGCCCTATATATGGATCAATATTGCAATTTCTTGGACATAGTATTTTAAATGTTCTGTAAAGAGCTTTGTTGCAGCTGCAGCCCGTTGCGAAAGCTCTATATGAATAAATCTATATTGTATTGTATTCCCTTTAGCGTAGCCCCATCTAGTGGATGCATAACGCAACCGCAGCCACTATTGTGGCATCTATTCTATGCGCTTTATGCGTCCTATATATGAAAACGGTTTTAAAATAGGACATTCATTGAAGGTACGCCTTACACTTCCGAAGCGCCTCATAGTGTGGAAAATACGGAATATATCTTTTGTCATGATTCTGAACTACTCCAGTTGCCTGCTGCTTCACATCCTGCACATGGGAGTTTATTTATTCCTACTTGACGCCAATGTCGAGGAAAAGAAGACAAGAAAAAAGGGAGCGAAATCCTTCCCGAGCTCAGATAATTGACCTTTCGGACTAAAATGCACAGCGGTAAACTCAACGGACCGAAGGATGCGCAACAACCAGAAGCTCACCGTCTTCGCCCGCTCGCCTCAATTAGCGCTCGTGTCACACTGGCCGAGCAGAAGGACAATTATGCAGCAGCCTGTTGTGAAATGTGTTGCTGCAGCAAGACGAGTCACAGACAACTTGACGCTCATGTTGTCCTTCCGACGGCTCCGCTGGCACCCTAAAATATGAAGTATGCCTTTGCCCACAGTAGACTGACATATGTTATTCACAAAACCTCATTTACATATTCGAGACAAGCGTCCCATATGGAAAATGACTTTTTTTTAAAAAAAAGTCATGAGCACATCTGAAAACTTTTTTAATGACAGAAATCAAATCATATCGACTATTTAGGCATAACTCCGACATTTTGAAATCCCAGACAAAGGGAGCCTAGAGGGGCCCCGGGAAATTCATTGTAAGCTAAATACGACTTGGACAAATGAAGGAGCCGGCAGCTGCATCTGTCCTTCAGCGCGGCTCGTTACTGTTCCACAATAACAGCCTTTTGTGTCATTAGCAACTTGCACTTCATACAAATAATGAGACTGCCAAGTCGAAGAGAAACGTTGCAACATAAGCGGGGCAAAAGAATAAATGTGGGATTCAACCCCAAGTGGATGCAGCGGTATGCTGTAATTAAGCGCAAAGTATTAAAAGGGAGACAGTCAAGCTAAGTTCTCTTTTCCTTGAATTTTCAATGCATCAAGGACTCTCTAGCTAGAGGATCATTTCACAGAGTCTTACGATGGCGTTGCCATACGTGATGTTCTCAAGTGTCAATCTATTTATTTCTTGCCATGCCGAGATGTCAAGCCCGATGCTGTGCGTCTATTTTTCTTGCCAGCAACTCCAGCTGAGCACTTGAGCATTTTTTTTCCTCCCGGGCCCTTGAATGGCTGCCAAGATTCTATTTTATCGCTGCCGGTCGAAAAGACAAAGATGCCTCGAGGAGTACCGGTCTTCTACCTTACACACCGTGCTCTATGTCGGATTTAAAAAGGTCCCGATTGGCTATCCAGGCCTAACAGATCAGGAAGTGGCAGAAGTCCAGAAGTCATTTTGACAGTCAGAATGTTCTCGGTCTGCTTGATGGGCTCTTACTTTTAAGTAAGTAGTTAGGTGGTAGCGCTCCAGAGTGGTTTCGAACCTACTTGGCAGGTAAGACTTTTTGCTCTTGAGTCCCACTCTGCCGCACAGTTGTGTGGTGTTCCTCAGGGTTCAATTGGAGGGCCCCTGCTGTGTTTATTGTATTTGATGGCAATGGGCTCCATCATAAGAAAGCATGGAATTTCCTTTCAAGGATATTTCTCCTTAATGCCACAAGAATTGACAAATTATGGTGTTTGTTCCTTTTTTTGGGGGGGGTTGTTGTTTTAGCTTAGGGAGCTGGCTCAAGTATAGCCTCTCATTTCACCACAACACTTTGAAATAGTATTCACTGCCTTTATTACATCTCGGCCGGATTGTTGTAACACACTATATTTTTGGAGTCAGCAAGTAGGGCTTCAACGGTGTCCAGTTGGTCCAAAATGCTGATGCTCCCCTCTTAACTGGAGCTCATAGGAGGGAGCACATAACTCCAATTCATGTCTCCATTCACTGGCTCCCTATACATTTTAGAGTTCATTTTGTGATTTTTTTTTTTTAATTTGTCTTTAAAAGGTCTCGCCCCATCTTACCTCTCTGAGCTCCTCCATCTCTACGTACCTGTCCGAGGCCTCAGGTCTTTAAAGGTACCGACAACTAAGTGGATGGGTTGGCGATTTTGCCATTGCCAGTCCCACTCTTTGGAATGACCTTCCGTTAAACGTTAGGCAAGGCCCCTCTATGTCCATAACTCATCTTCAAACCCATTTTTAAACTTTGGCTTTTGACTGAGCATGAGACTGATCGCTGTTTTAATGTTTTATTGTGGTTCCAGTTTTTATGTGAACATATCTCGTTGGAACTGGCATGTTACAATACTTTGTCCAACAGAGAGAAAAATTCAAGTCAGAAATCAATACCAGTGGCACGCCACAACTGAAATGAAAACAGCTTCAACCGGCTCCCTCAAAGCATGATTTGTTTCACTGGACGTTAGCATGTGTAAACACCAATTACTTTTTGCCATTTAAAAGAGGTGCTTGATCCCTCGGGTCAAAGGGTGCAATAACTGTTTTTGTCAAATGCAAAGCCAATTAGAAGGAAAAACACTCTTCAGTCCGCAAAGGCCACAGAGGACGAGTGGATCACACTGATAAAGGTGGAGCAGCACCCTTGAGCTCCCCCCTGCCCCCTGTATCACTAAAAATAAAACACGCTTATGTAATACAGAATGCTTATTTTGGGTGTAATAAGTGACAAAGCGTGCGCGCGCACGGACACGCACGCACGCACGCACACACACACACACACACACACACACACCTGGTGCAGCATATATACAGTTGCATATATAAGATAAGATAACCTTTATTTGTCCCTCACTGGGGAAATTTGCAGTCTACAGCAGCAAAATTGGGGGGGAGGGAAAAAAAATGCTTATATGTTATATTTTATATTGCATTCTGTACCGTGTACAGTTCATTTTTAAAAAAAATATTTGTGCATGCAAATACTTAATTTTTTCTACTTTCTTCCCTCCAAATTTTGCTGCAGTGGATTGCGAATTTCTCCACTGTGAGACAAATAAAGGTTTTCTTCTCTTATCTTACACACACCCCCGCAAAAAAAAAAAAAAGAAAAAAACGAAGCCTCACTACATTATAACAGGACAGTAGCCTTATGATCACAGCCACCGATCACCAAAAGTCACCTCACTCATTGCCGTGAGCCAGTGAGGGAGTTCACACTGCAAGGCCTGGAGCTAAAAGGGGCACATCGAAGAAGAAAATATGATTGAGAAGAAGTCGGCAGGTAAAGCGGCGCGCCGCCGTGCTTCAATGCACGCTGACAAAGAAGCGCGAGGAAGAGACAGAGTGAGAGAGGGAGAGAGGAAGAAAAAAAGCAAACAAACAAGATGAAAGCTCTACGTTTCCCACTGAAGGCGAGGAGTGGGGAGAGATGAGGCAGTGGGAGTGTGGAAGAGGATAAACAGCTGCTTTCAAAGTGGAGAAAGTGGGGTGTGGAAAAGGATTGGATTTGGCCCCACTCAAAAGGGGGAAGACACTGAATGAAAGGAAGGAGGTGGTGGGTGGAAAGGAGGAGGAGGAGGAGATGGTGATGGATGTCCAACTGATTAGAGGGACGGAACGCGTGGTGCAAACGGCGCTAAATGCTAAAGCTCAAGCGTACACAATCGCAATCGACTGCTTAACGACGGTTGCTGATTTTGTTACAAGTGAGGGTCACATGATTGGTACTGGCTCGACACAGCAGCTCTGCGAAAGGTTTTCGGTGAAAAGGAGGGACGAGTAAACACAAACGGGTGGAAGAAGAAGAAGAGGAGGAGCGGGTGGAGAAAAGTGGCCCATGAGAAGGATTAAAAAAAATGGAAGCAAGGAGAGAGGATGGCGTAAGTATGAATAATCACACGAAAAACAGGTGGTGAGGAAGGCGTCGAGGCTCTTGTATGAATTTTCATGAGATGCTTTTCGACGGCAAACAAAAGGAAAGAGATCGAGATGGAGGTGAGCCGCGTGCGATGGAGAGGGCGGGGGGAAATAAGAAATTGGAATCACTGTGGCATGAGGATGGCATTCCGACATCAATTTAGGGAGGAGGCCAATGCAAACAAAGCGTGCACTGGAATGGATCGCAGACTCTGAAAAACATATTCAGCAAAGACGGGAAATACAACAGCGCCGCGGCTACTCGTCCCTCTCCGCGCCTCCGGTTTCAGGGATCTGAACCCGACTCACTTTCAAACGACTGGGGGCGACGTAGGTCA